ACAGATGACAGCTGTGGCATGGCGTTCCCGCGTGTCCTGCGCAGCGCCTTCCAGTGGATTGGCACCGGCGGTCTCTTCCTTCTGCCGCGACTGGGCCCGAACATTGTACCGCACATGCCAGCTGCAGCGCTGGCATTTGGATGCAACCAGCTGTTTACTCTGGCGTGCGAGGTGGATCGCGTCTACACGGCAGAGGCAGCAGCGCAACTGGCCCGCCCTGAAGATGAACGGGGGGACTGTGCGCTGCTGCAGCCTGCTGCTGACCGCGCCCGCGACGCTGCCTACTACAGCACGAAGTACACTGGCAAGAGCATCAACGATAGCCAGGCGCAGCTGACGTGCAACGCTCTTACCCGAGTGCAGGATTTCCTGCTAGCTGGAAGGACACCGAATCCGGGCGCCAGTGGGCCCACCGCGTTTGGCAACATGTGTGCCACCGTGCATCGCATGACCGCTTCCATTACGGCTGGTATGGCGCTTGTCGCCATGAAGCTGGACGGTCATTCCACCTTCGAGGCGACGTTCGAGTGCGCTTACCTGCAGGTAGACGCGTTCACGGCGCTATCTGCGAGCGCCGAGCAATCTCCTGAGGCGGCGACCACAGCGGCGGTACTGGTGGAGGCTGAGGAGCAGGAGGGCTACACGGTGACCAACGCCGTGCAGAGCTACATGCTGCGGGGGGAAGAACTCAGCGGCCTGGACTGCAGCGCGTACAACCTAGCCTCCAACTATGAGGTCCGACGTGTGCCGCCAGCTCAGCACCCGCACCGAGAGCGATTGGGTCTACAGATCCCGGTGGCAGTTCGACGCCGCAAGCGCACTACCCCAGCCACACCCATAACCGCCCCTGTGCCTGCCCCTGTGCCTCTGCTGACTGCAGCCCCGGCCCCTCCTCCTGAGCCACCTGCTCCTACAGCTGCAGCAACACTCGACCAGCCAACGTCTCAGACAGCCACGGAGCTGCCCCGCCTGGTGGCCTTCCACGGCACGCATCCGCTCTACAAAACACATGTCCACGTCCGCCTGCCGCGGCCACGCTACGTACAGCTTGGAGGTTCTCTTCCCCGCCGGCCCCGTCCTGGCACCTCTGCTGCGGGCATGGCACAGTACTACGCGTTTGTCCTGGGTACTTTCAAAGCTCACCGGGGTCAGCCCATCCCCCCCGGGCTGAGTGTAAAGGAAGCCTACGACACCTGGTGGGCAGAGCTGGGCACTACCGAGGCAGGTCGCTCTTACCAGGCGTATGTATCGGTACTGCTGGACAACATCGAAGAGGACCACGCTGGGAAAGCCCGCCGTCAGGCGGAGTACAACCAGCGGCGCCGCCAGCAGCGTGCAGCAGCGGCAGCAGCCGCGTTGCCTGAAGGTGACAGCACGAGCACTTCGGATGGAGATGCCGATGACGGCGTCCGCGGGCATCTCAGGCCTGATCCTGAAACACAGCCGCCCGCCGAGGACCAGCTGGAGCACTTCGTGTACATCCCAGGTCAGGCGTATCCGACGGCTGGCACCGACCTCGCCGCCGTCGCTCTTACGGACCTGTTTGACTGCACCAACGCTGCTGGCGCATATGCCTATGATGCAGCACGGCGCTGCCGAGCCCCGACCCTAGTGGACGGCCATGGTGCACGCAGCGATCGTTTCAGCCGTCGGATCACGCCAGCGGACCTGCCCCTCCTGACTGAAGCGACCAAGCGTCTGAAGCGGTATCTCGTTGCAGCAGCAGCCGGCACTGTTGAGGCAGATGGGGGCGCCCACACGGGACTGACAGCCACACCTGAGATGGACACCCCTCATGTCGAGCTGCACCGCCCCACCAGCGGACCCCTGGTCGCCATTGTGCGCATGCCTGGCACTCCTGAGCGGACTGAACAGGCTCGCATGCCCATCTATGTGCACCTCCCCCAGCCGCCCAGCATCGACGACACCATCGAGCTGTTCACGCTTGCCCCCCACCAGGCCGTGCCCTTCATGCTCATGGCTCGGTACTTCGATCACCGTGATGAGCCCAACCCTGGCGACCCGCCGCAGATGCTTGTGGAGGGCAAGCCCGGTACCGGAAAGAGCCAGTTCGTACAAGCGCTCCTGTGGTACACCTGGTATAATTACCCTTAAGTTCAGTAATTTTTTATCTAGCAGGAAAAGTACACACGGCGAAAATCCGGTAAATAATTTATAAGGGTATTCAAAAATACGGCATAGTTCCTTTTTGCCACCACTCATCCGATTTAAATTGGGCAGGCAGCCTTTGATCATCATAACCATCCAGCTCTAGTTCCTCATAAACAATATGAGTAACCTA